AAATTCAATATTATATTATAATATTTTATGCATGTCTTATATTTATAAATCGTTTTAAAAAACAATATATTTGCAAAATCAATTGTTTTTAGAATATATTTAAATAAATATTTGTTTTTGTATTATTCGATTAGTATTAAAAAAAATCAAAAATCGTCCTCAAATTTATTTTTCCATGTATATCATATATTTCGATTTTCATTCATTTCCTCATTCGTTCATTTCCTCCCTCATTCATTCCCTCCTTCGCCTCATTCTCCCTCATTCATTCCATCTTTCGTTCGCCCTCCCTCACTCATTCCCTCGCTCATTCACTCTCTCCCTCACTCCCTCCCTCACCTCACTCTCCCTCACTCACTCCCTCACTCGCTCTCCCTCCCACTCACTCACTCCCTCCCTCACTCTCTCAAATCACGCGAATAATCTCGCATCTCGAATCTCGGATCTCGAATTACATACAAAGATCGGATCATATTGGCTTTTCGCGGCTTTGGCCCAAGCAGCAAAGGTGGCGAGGTTATATGGACTTGCTTCACAGCCGTTCTTACCAGAACTCTTCCAGCAAGCAGGAATACAATCGCTCCGGCCTTCCCCCTCCTGGTGAGTTCTCTATACATAGTGATCGGCCCGAACAAGTAGTGGGCAATGGACAGAAAAATTTAGTCTGTTAGACAAAAATAATTCAATTCAAATTTATTGTATAATATCAGAAGATGGCTACAACTACAGGCGAATATATAACTGGTGATTTTGAGGTATAACATTATTGGAGAGACTCATACGCAGATCAATCCATAACAGATTTTGACCATACACAATTATATATTAATACCTAATATCTATCTAGATATTCGTATTTTATATCCAATCCACAATTTAAAAATTAATTTAACCGATAAAATCCGGTTCGTTAGATTATTGTTTTTTGAAACAAGGTTTGTTATGCAATTTTGAGTTTAGGTGATATTAGTAACCGTTTTACCTCAGGTTAAATTTCAATATTGCTTATATTTTAAATTAACTCACATGTTTGCCTAAGTGCATGTTTCCGACCTAGGAGGAGTCGAACAAACGTTATATTCTAATTCTAATTACTTTTAATTCTTGTTTCTAATAGCTTCTTGTTACTATTAGTAAGGCATTTATTACTAGAAGCGATGCACTTATTCCTAGTAGCGTCAAAAGAATCGTGGTACAGCAATAAGGAGAGCAAAATGAAAATTCCAAAATAATTCAGGTATTTCGAAATGGGCGCCGAGAAAATAATTCCAAAATAATCAATGCTTTTTGAAAGTCTGAAATTCAAAAATTTCCAAAATAATCAATGTTATTTCGGGTCCTTTCCGCTGACGCTAAAACCGAGCACCAAAATATGAAGCCGCCAAAAGGAAACATGTCTTCGCTGAAGCACCAAATTTGGGACTTTTGGACTGGCCGAATTGCGCGCGCGCCCCCATTGGTAGGCCTTATCGTAATATTGTAAGTAGTAATATAAGTAATCTATGAATTTAATGATATGTATTATATAGATTTAGCTTTCAAGTTCGTAAACAACGTCTGTGCGAAGGACGTATTTCACACCATCCTTGGAAAGGAATGATCCATATCGTACATTCTTCTAATCTCGATCAAAAGAATCATGTTTTCCGAATTTGTACATTCCCAATTGCATGTAAAGAAAAGAAGCCTGGAAAGCATCCAAACAAAGGCTCTTCCATTGCCAAGGCTCTTCCACTCCGGCACCTTCGTGCGTCATGCACTCATCTCCATGGCCGTGAAAAAGACAAACTCCACGGGTCGGTGGAAACGCCAATGCAGGACGCTTCCCATCATGGTCCTAGTAGCGTGCGATGGTGCTCCTAGTAGCGATGCACTTGTTCCTAGTAGCAAACATTGTTACTACTAGTAGGGCCCTTGTTTCTACTAGCTTCTTGTTACTACTAGTAAGGCACTTGTTACTAGTAGCGATGCCCTTTGCTCCTAGTAGTGATGGCTTCCAACCTAACATCAGGATTTTGAAGTTCGGCTTTTCACAATCTGCAGCGTTGATCAGTTTCTCTCTCGCACACAAAGCACGCACAGCACGGCTCAACATGATCTTGTAGCTTGCAAAGTCCTTCCAAAACACAGTCTCGCCACCCTTCACCTGCAAAGTCTATTCACACTCGGAAACGGCGGGAATAACGGACTTTGAACGGCCGAACATGAATCTACAGCGTCTCATGTTCGAACTGTCCCGCTTCTAGCTGCGAGCGGCCTCCAACCTAATGGCCTCCAACCCAATAGCAATAGCTGCTAGCTCGCCATCGCTTTTCTGCAATCAAAAGCTCTTTCTGCGGAAGGACCTGCACCTCCCTGTCTCTGTCTCCACCATTCAGGTAAACCAGCCTTAGAGAACACAAGTAGTCGAACTCAAGGAAAGCATTGCAAGCAGTGAAAGGACAACAGGAGGGGTAAGTCAGTACATGTCGGAGAGGTTGAGTCAAAGGACTGTAGGACCCCCCTCTCAAGAAGCAGACTGAGGTGGCTTGTCACCTCGAAACGGAAGATTTGGTCATGAAGACCTGGAAACTAAAGACCTGGTTCAGCCGACGCAGAAGGCGGAACACATTTCTTTGCAGAACCCGCATGCACGGTTGAAGCGACTCCGTCGTTGAAGCATATTTTAGCACGGGACACAAAGAACGCTACGAACGGGGCTCCTGGCCTTACTACTAGGAGCAAGAACGCTACTAATGTTTTCTTTACTAGGGAGGTCTCCAACGATGGAAGGAAAAAGAAAGCAAATTTGAAGGCTTGAGGAACAGTTACAAGAGACCCCCCAAATCCACGCTGGACTGCTCTGAGTGCCATTTACCATTGTGCTGCTGCGTCTTCGCCTGCTGCTTCCCCGTCACTTGCTGCGTCGTCTGCCGCTGGTATTGCTGCTGGAATTGCGAAGTGTGCCAAAGAATACTATATATATATATATTTATTTGCTTTGAAGTTTGAAGTGAAGTTTCCCCAAACATTTAGAAACCAAATCAATGACGTGAGCTATCCTGCGTCCTACCTAGAAGCTAACTTGGCCTAGTAGCTTACTCCCTTACTCAAGTAATCACCTACTTACTTAAGTGGCGGGGCCTCGGGCTTAAAAAGACATGCGATTGTCACAAGTTCACAGTTCACTGCCGTACCACGAAACGTGAGGCCACAACAAAAGGCACGACGAGTTCAAACATTTGGCTCACACGTGCCGTTTCGCGCCCAACACGCCGTTGGTTTCTAACCACACACCGCGAACCGACTACACTCTCACCGTAAACCTGTATGCGAGCCCCCTGAGCCACAGAAAGACATGGGACATAGCAAAGATTCAAGTCTCGGCGCTCATGACTGATTGGATGATGAAATGCAATAGGATAAGATTGGATTTTAATGCAAAGGAAGAACACTGCACTAGAACCAAATGCAAGTTACAGGGAAGTCAGACAATAACAGTCAGATTTAAAAAAACACTAAAAACTTGAATTCCGATTTATTCCATTTGTTATGCGAAATCTTGAAATCCAGCTTGTGTTTATGCGAAGCCTTTGTGTTTACAGTGTCGAAGCAAAAGCAGAAGGAAAACGAGAGGATGGCGGATGTCAATGTGGGATGAGCGGAGATGTGAAGCACGATGAACATATATGGAATATTATGGAATCTTCAATCTAATAGCAATGGCCTCCAACCTAGTAGCTTATTGTAAATTACTAGTAATGCCCTTTGTTCCTAGTAGCGTTCTTGCTCCTAGTAGCGAGGCCAGGAGCCCCGATCGTAGCTTTTCTTGTTACGTTCGTAATGCCCTTTGGTGCACGAACGTAGTGAGTAAGAGAGTGAAAGTGCGTGTTGAGTCAGCGAAGGAGTAGGGCAGAGGAGAGGGCGGCCCGCGAAGTCTCCACACAAGGATGTGGAGGCCGTCGCTACGAACGGAGCAAGGACGCTGCTACAAGTAGGGGCTCCTGGCCTTGCTAGTAGTAACAAGAAGCTGCTAGTAGCTAGAAGCTACTAGGTGGAGGCCATCACTATTAGAAACAAAAAAACAAACAAGTCTCCACGCAAGGATGTGAGGAAACCCTCACTGGAAAAGCCATACTTGTTCGCTGTTTCACACATTGTCTGGAGTGCGAATGCACTGGAAAAAGGGATGTCTTATTGCCGTTTGACTCATTGTCTAATCACATTCAAGCACCTCAAACCTCAAGTTACAGCAGGAGTCACTACATTAGCTGCACCAGGTACCAGTACTTCACTGCCTTTATGATTTCTGTGCTTAACAAACACATGTCAACCTCAAAATACCAAACGCTGCCCAGCTTCACCGTAAAATGGGTACGCCCACCAAGCTCAGGCTCATCACGGCTGCCATCGACGTGCTGTCCAAACCTGTGGAACATCTGCGGAACTCTGGAGGAAGCGATGGCCTCCAACCCGAGTCTTCCAGTAACAAGTGCCTTGCTACTAGGAACAAGAGGCTACTAGGAGCAATAAGAAAGAAATTACTTAAAAATAGAAAAAGAAACCTAACAGCAATGGCCTCCAACCTACTAGCGACGGCCTCCAACCTACCGATTTGGCTATTGGACTTGCTCACTCTCTGTTCAAGGACAAAGCAAAGCCACACGGTTGCTTCTTGACTTTGTTTCACAAAGCTAGGAACTCACAAGGCACACAGTTTGCGCTGTTTGACATGAAGAATCCGTGTTTGAGGCACTTAGACAATCTTACCCCTGTCACTGTCTGGTTGGAGGCCGCGACTCCCTCGCCGCCGCACGTCCGATCCGTGCCTTTGTCCTTTCACGTATCGATAGACCCGGATCCGCGGAGAGCAACCCAAAGCACGGCGACCCCCCCACGGTCTCTGGCACGAAGCCCTCGGAAGGACGGGGCCAAAAGGACCGCCACCCGAACGAAGGAACAAGAGTACGCTACTAGTAACAAAGGGCATCGCTATGAACGGAGCGATCGGACGCTAAGAAGCTACTATTTGTTATGACCAAATTAAAGCAAGTGTTGTGCCTCAAGTGCCTAAGCATTGCTTTCAATGGCCATAAACTCTCTGTGAAAATCTGTGCAAGCTAAGCCAGGAAAACCAACACTCAAAGGATGTCACTACACGGACTCGAGGCCGTTGGGCCTTCATGCGCAACCAAATCTGGTAGGCCGTGTCCATGCAAAAGAACCTTAGAGCCAAAGGGCCAGGAACCTTTATACCACCAGCGACAATCATGATTCAATTTCTCGCATGTCCAACCCTTCCAAATCACTACCCCCCAGCTTTGTTTTGCCAACTTGTTTTGACACTTGAGAGTGACAAAAGAGTGGCTCTACTATTCCATTTGACAGCTAGAAGCTCTATGCGTCCATTGTTGCGGTGTGCATAGGTGGAGTTTTGCTTCCTCAATGCCGCTTCGCATTGATCAACGCTGGCAAAACATGTGATGCATTTCAGCTTGCATCTGTTTGCATCAAATGACATGCAGTTTGTTGGCATGCATAGAACACGTTCCGAATTCCGGCAAAGCTGGATCCCCGTACAAACTTCGGACTAGACAGGACCACTTGATGTTAGACACCTACAGTAGCCAGTGCACACAGCATCAGTATTTGTCAAAGCACAACCGTGCCAACTGTGCCAGGTATCTGTTTTGCTTCGTCAAAACCATGCTTCTCACCCCAGGTGATCCAGCCATGACATTCTTCCTGGAAAGAACACGGATATATAACATGTAAAGAACAAAATAAAAGCAAGGAAAAGAAAAGGTCTAAAAATTAGAATGAGGTCCGAACAAGTCTTCGTCGGATTCGTGCCTTCACCCTTCTTTACTTCCCTTCTTATAGGTTGGAGGCCATCGCTATTTTGTTGGAGGCTTCTTTACTTCTTATCCTTTCTTCTGCGTTTTTCTTTGGGCCTTTCACCCGGGTTTACTTCAATTTCTTTTGCTTGGCCACATAGTACAATCAACTCTCACCTAGAAAGGAAACATGCGGGCATCGGGTGCAAAATGTATCCACGTACGCATGCATACGTGCTCGATATCCACATCGCTCAATCCACTGCAGCGCCCATACACTCACCAAACCAATGGAAAAGGGTAACAATACATGCAGCACCTCCCACAGTACCTACACATTTGTAACGTCCAAGTGCAAATGTCCAGTCGCAGCAGTTCGTAACCCTTGAAATGCACATTTCGCGGCAGGCACAGTATTCGAGGTGTGTGTGTGTGTGTGTCATGTGGGTGTGCTCTCGTATGCAAGCTGTCACTCTCTAAAGCGTGCTCTCACCTGTTCTCACATGTGTCCTCTCAGGTGTCTGTGCGTGTGCTCTCTGGCTCGCGCGCTCTCAAACGGGTGCTTGCAGATATGTGCCCGCATAGACGTGCTCTCATGGGTCTCATATGTGTGTGCGTGTGTGGTCATATGATCAAGTGAATCAAGTGTTTCTTCTCGTGTGTGCGTGTGGGTGGGTGTCTGTCTCTCTCTCTCTCTCACTCAGGTGTGCGCTCTCATATGTGTGTACATTACGTTGGACGAAATCTGCTGAAGCAAAGTGAGCGTGGTAATGTTCGTTGAAAAAAAACGCATCGCAGAATGCCTTTAGAATCTCGAACCCTACGACAAACAAGTGGTGTCATATTAGGTCTAGGACACGGATTCTATTTATATAGTTGCGCATGGTTATAGTAGAATATATAGTATAATAAATGTGCACTGTCTGTCTCGTATGATGCTTGGCACTTGCATATAGAACCCCTTTCCTGAAAACGAAACACAAAACAAAACAATTCAGCAAACTTGCATCTGACGCACAAAACCTTTAGCATACTGTTTAATACAACATCAATTGCATCAAGCAATAGCAGTACATAGCAAAACCGAGCATTCAATACATTGCACAAAAGGACTGCAAGGTTGATGCGTTTAAATGCCCTCTCTACCACCCTTAGATGACATTTGGATCATCAAAAAGTAAGGCTTAGCACAGGAAAGACGCCTCAATCTTATGAATCATAGTCAACGTATTTCCCTTTGTTTGTCACAGGTTTTCAGGAGACTTGTGATGTAATTATATATATATATTTATTTGTAACTATATGCAATGTATGCTCATGTCAAGATGAGGCGCCGAGAATGTATGTTATGACACAACCTCTCAAATGTTGCTGCTTTGCACGCGCACACACGCAACGTGGCCGAAACAAATAAGTTGGCACCCCACTCCATGCAAGATCCAACGACACCAGAATGGACCCTTTTGAAAAGACCTTTTTGAATAGCGATGGCCTCACGACATCAAACGCAGAGAGGTTCTGGCACACGTCCCAATCAGGCCTCTGTGAAGAAGTTGTCTATGGCGCTAATGCCTCACTCGCAGAGTGATGCATGATGATGCATGTGCAACGACTTCTGAAAGAGAAAAAGTGAGAATGAATACCGCATAGCATTCAAACGTTTGCCACAAGCAACAAATCACAAACCTGCACTGCCTTCTGCTAAACTAATGTTCCACCAGGTTCAATTGCTTTCGAGGTTCGAGGCCATCGCTACTAGGTCAGTCTAAGAAGTTCGACTGTGCACTTAAAAAGATATCAGTTCCAGGGACGCACTGGGTGGCTGAGCAACGTGATGTGTTGCAGCTGAAGCTTTCCTCAGTGAAGCTGTTCGAAGGAAGTGGCCCGATGCAACGGCCCTTCGAAGGACATAAAAAACGACTGAAAGTATAAAGAAACATATGATGACATTAATTACTGTCAATTCTACTTTATTGTTTCCAATAGCTTCTTGTTACTAGTAGTACGGCCAGGAGCTCCTAGTAGCGTCCTTGCTCCTGGTAGCGATGCCAGGAGCCCCTAGTAGCGTCTTGTTCCTAGGGTATGTATCTTTTGTTGTTTCCACTTTCAGTATTGATTTGTCTCTTTTCGTTTGTACTTGCTTTCTTTCATGATTTCCTCAATCGATGTTGTGCAAGTTGGTGCCTTTCTGGGAGACACAACTACCAAGCCTAGTCTCTGGGCAAAGCTACCAAGCCGAGACCCTCGTCTTCCTCTCGAGGCAACGTTCGTAGCGATGGCCCTCCACCGTGCGTAGCTTTGGTCGTTACTCCCCTGCAGATTAACATGGAACCCAAAACCGCTGGGTTGTAGAGGACAATGATCTTTCACCGGTCAATTCTCAGGTTCCACGTTAATTTGCTGGCGAGTACTAAACAGGATTTACCAAAGCTAAGTGAAGCAAAACACACAGAACGTTTCTACCAAGATATGCGTCACGGTGGCCATGTCAAAGCTACCTACCACACAAATCACAAGCCCTTTACCGCTGCAACCTCCAGCTCCGGTGGAAGTACAGGGGGCACTGAGACTTGAAGCTGCCTTGCCAGGTCAGGAGCTACTAGTAGCGATGCACTTGTTCCTAGTAGCGAGGCCAGGAGCCCTTAGTAGCTTCTTGTTACTACTA